TTTGTTAAGCTGAATGAGTTCCCTGTAAATGTTAGACATTAAACCCTTATTGGTGATAACATTGGCAAATATGTTCTCCCAGGCAGTGGGCTTTCTTCTTGTTTTATTGATGGTCTTTGTTGCTGGGCAAAAGCTTTTTAATTTGATATAGTCCCATTTGTTTATTTTCTCTTTAGTTTCCATTGCCCTAGGAGCAGTATCAGTGCAGAAATTGCTTCAGACTACATAAAAAAATTTTTCTGCCTGTGCATTCCTCTAGTGTTTTTATGGTTTCTGGTCATATGTTTCAGTCCTTGATCCATCAATAAAGGGTGTTGGATTTTGTCAAATGCTTTTTCTGCATTGATGATATGATTATGTGATTTTTGTCTCTCACTTTATGTGAGGTATCACACTTACTGATTTGCGGATATTGTACCATCTTTGCATCCCTAGAATAAATCCCACTTGGTCATGGTGTATGATCTTTCTAATGTAATGCTGAATCTGATTTGCTAGAATTTTGTTGAGGATTTTAGCATCTATGTTTATGAAGAATATTGGCCTGTAATTCTCTTTTTTTGTGTGGTATCTTTATCTGGTTTGAGGTTTAGGGTAAGGCTGGCTTCACAGAAAGAGCTTGGAAGTGTGCCTTCATCTTGAATTTTTTTTGGAATGGTCTGAGGAGGATATTTTATTTATTTATTTATTTATTTATTTAAATCAATCTTTATTGTTCATATTATTACAAAGGTTCCTCATTTCTTCCCCCCTCCACCAGGTTCCCACCCCACCCTCTGCCCCCTTTCCATCCCCCATTGTCCTCATCCATAGGTGCAGTTTATGTTCAGTCTCTTCTTCCCTCAATTTCCCCAATAGTAAATCCCTTTTCAGATAGTAAATCAGTTACTTAGCATTTTCTCATATCAATAATACCTCCACATGCCCAATGATAGACTTCACACAAAAGACATTTCCCAATAGGTCCACCTGCCTCATCCAGGCCCCACCCAAGGCACTCATAGATCAACACCCCAGTCCTAAACTAACTCAACACATCCAGATCTAAGCCTTCATCACTTGATTCAGCAGACCCTCAAGTTCCCACGAAAGTTTCCAGCCATGTCTGAGAAGCAGCCGTGGGGCAGGGGCAGGCAAGGAGTGAGCTGTTCTGGGCCTGGCTGCTCAGGGCCTGGCCTTTGTTGCTCTGGTTCATTCCACAACCAGCTGCTCCGGGTCTGGTCACTGCCGCTCCAGGCCTAGTTGCTCTGGACTTGGCTGCTGCTGCTCCAGGCTTGGCCGCTCCCAGCCTGGCAGCCGCTGCTCCGCGCCTGGCCGCACCCGACCTGCCTGCTCCCCCGGGCCTGGCCGCTCCCAGCCTGGCAGCCGCTGCTCCGGGCCTGGCCGCACCCGACCCGCCTGCTCCCCCGGGCCTGGCCGCTCCCAGCCTGGCAGCCGCTGCTCCGGGCCTGGCCGCACCCGACCCGCCTGCTCCCCCGGGCCTGGCCGCTCCCAGCCTGGCAGCCGCTGCTCCGGGCCTGGCCGCACCTGACCTGGCTGCTCTGGGCCCGGCTACCCCGAGCCCGGCCGCTCCGAGCCTGGCCACTCCCGACCTGGATGCTCTGGGCTTGGCTACTGCTGTTCTGGGTCTGGCTGCTCCCACCCCGGCTGCTCTGGGCCCGGCTTCTCCGGGCCCGGCCACTCCGGGTCTGGGTGTTCCTAGACTGGCCACCCTGGGCTTGGCCGCCTCCGCCTCATGCCTGGCTGCCACTGCCCCAGGTCTGGCTGCTCCAGTGCTGGCTGTTGATGCTCTGGTTCTGGCTGCTGCTGCTCTGGGGCCTGGCCGTTGCTGCTCCGGGTCCGGCTGCCACTGCCTTGTGCCTGGCCACTCTAGGCCTGGCCGCCGCTGTTCCAACATTCTGTCCTTTTTTTTTTCTTTTTTCTTTTTAAAATGCATTTATGTTGCAATGTTGGCTGGTGAGTTGAGTTCTGAGTTAGTCTTTGATTTTTGAAGATCTTGTTTGTATTCTTTCTTAAGTAATTTTACTATTTTTTGCTCTCACTTGATTTCTTCACATTGAGAACTTCTTTGGTTTCTTCCTCCTTGTCCTGGGAGCTCAGCAGGTTGGCCTGTGGCACCCCTTTGTTCTCCGCGGGCTCCTGCGCTGCTTCAGCCTGTTGCCGGGACGGCGCTGCCCAGGAAGCAGCCCCCGGCCTTGGCTCCATTGCCCGCGCTCAGTGGTCAAAGGCTCAGGGGCACCCACGCCCCCAGGGGCCCCATGGCCTGAGGAGGATATTTTAGTTCTTCTTGGAATGCTTGATAGATCTCCACTGTAAAGCCGTCTGGACCAGGGCTTTTGTTTGCTGGTAGATTTTTGATTGCTGCTTCAGTTTCTTATGTAGTTGTTGGCCTATTCAGGTTTTTTGATTCTTCCTGGTTGAGTTTTGGGAGCTTTTATTGGAACTGACCTCCAGTCTAATTGGCTGTGAGGATCAGCTGTGTGAGGCTTCCATGTGCGCTTGCCTAGAATCAAAGTCAGGTGGCACTGCCGCCCTGTCTAGGCATGGGGTCCGGTCTCGTGCTTGCACTCTGTGGAAAACAGATTCCCAGTGTCTGCATGCCCAGGCTCAAATTCTGGCAGTGGAGCAAGAGCCACCCTGTGTGGGTGTGGGGTCTGGTCTCTGCGGGGAAATAGATTCTCAGCGTCCTCACTCCTGGGCTCAAATTTGGGCAGCGGAGCCGGAGCCACCCTGTGTGGGCAGGAGGCCTGCTTGTGCAGGGTGGGACCAGCAGTTCCTATGGCTCTGCAGCAAGCCTGTGGGGTGGGGGGTGGGCTCTGTTACTCACAGAAATCTGAGGCCTGGATATCTGGATTCTTGGTGTCTTTGGATCTGCAGCTGTAGTGGCAGGTCTTTGTCCCCGGGGGCTGTAGGTTCCTGGTTTGCATCTGGGACCAGATTGGGTTGTGGTGAGCTAGGATCCTAATCTCAAGCAGTTCTGTTTTTCAAGATGCGTGGTCTCTATGCCTAAGCTGGCTGCCCCTGGAGTGTCCCAGGTGGCAGCAGGGTTTTGCAGTCTAAGACTGCCCGTTTTGGCAGCTCCACACACCACACATGTCCACACACTCCTCTATGGCTCCCTCACTTTTTCACACACTCTCCCTCCCTACGTTCTTGCTGGTTGCCATCCTCAGAATCCAACCTTCATTTTAAAGTCTATTTTGTTTGATATGTGTATTGCTACTGCAGGCTTTTTTTTTTCTTTTTCTTTTCCATTTGCATGGAAACATTTTTTTTTTCTATCCCTCCACTCTCATCCTGTGTGTCTTTTGTTTTGAGGTGGGTCCCTCCCTTGTAGACAGCATAGAGTAGTGCCATATTTTTGTATTCATTCAGCTACATTATGCCTTTTGATTGGAGCATTTAGTCCAGTTACATTTAGGGTTATTGATAGGTACTTATTTATTACCTTTATATTTCTTAATGGCTAGGTGTCTCTCTGTTTCTTATTACAGCAATCCCTTTAGCGTTTCAAAAGTTAATACCATGTTTGCTTATAAGAATCAGCTCACTTTAACGTGAAGATTTTACACTGAACATCTTACTCATCAGGAATGTCTTTCTGAAGCCTTGGTCATTTTGCTTTCTCATGTCCTCCCAATCCTCCCCCAGTGTATGATTGATTATTCAGCTTTTTGAGCCTCTGGGACATTCATGAGATGGTGTAGGTATATTCAATGTTTAAAATATTCATTGCTTCTCTCTGTTGTGTCCACGCTTATGTGAGAAGTATTCTTTTCACTCCTTTGACATCGGACTTGTCTCTGTCATTTGCTTTGGCCAGTGGAATGTGGGTATTGTAAACAGCATTTAAGTTGAAGTTTTTTGTTTTTTTTATGAGCTCCCATTGCTTGGTTACACTGTCATTCCCCCCCCCTCCCTATTCTGCCATAAAAGTGACATGTTTAAGATAGGAACTGCTCTAGATCCCCATCCAGAGATTTTGGGATTGTTTGTTACCATAGCATAACAGTAAACGCTGGCTAATACCCCAGGACACTGGGGAAAACCTCCTGAACAAGTTGAGCAGAACCTGCTGTTGGCTTCCCAGGGCCAGAGAATTTTCTGTCCATTTTCATCTGCCATCAGAGTCAGTTTATATAGGATTCTGGACTATCTAAAGATGAGAAGCATCTAAGTTATTTTTCCTTGATTAATAGAAATATATAAGCCATAAACCATTGGAATTACTGTACTACCACAATTGAGAACAAAATATTTTATTTTTCTCAATAAAACTATAGTTTACAATAGTATTTACTAAATAAATTATATAATTTCTCTTTTACAAGCAATAAACTAAATCACAAATATTTCAAAGACAACGTGTATGTACACGACATAAGGCCTTTTATAAATAAGCTCTGCTTTTCTCATGTCATTAGTAAACAGTGAAAACATCTTTATAGAGGCTAGTTATCTATAAAGTATATGCAGATCTATTATGCTGATCTTTAGATAAAATCAATTTAAACATTTAATGACATGGGCTGTGATTATAATTTTGCAAAAAGAGCAGGATTTATACTTTATATACCATTTTGCACAGATGAGTTTTTAAAAATATATATAAGCAGATTACATGTGTTGCTTATGTATAATCACCGGATGCATGCAAAATGAAATAATGCAAGTATCAATAGGAAAATAGCACTTTCAAGTCCAAAAAAGTGATTGGCAATGGTATAGAAAGCAGCTTAAATATAGTTCATGCAGTTCTTCACAGTTCGGCAAGCAACAGCAAATGATAGAAGAGTGTGGTATTTTTCACATCACATCTGCTGATCAGCCCCCATGGACCAGGGCTCCCCTGACATCTCGCAGACTCCTAAGTCCAGTTGATTGCTTCTCTGTGTCGTGGGGCTCAGCCAAGTTCCTTTGGGAAATCTGGAGTGAAGGAACTTCTCTCCTACCACTGTGTTCATGTCTCATCCATCTGCTTAGGCGGTCACCAGTTGCACTTACTGGGGGGAAAAGAAAGAAAGCAGCTTTGAGACTCAGTTTTGGTGTTGATTGATAACTGCTCCTCATGAGTAGGAACACAGTCCATTATTTCTCCCAGTGGCTTGTGCCTGGGAAATGTGCGAGCTGAAGTCGGGGTGCATGAGGCTGGGATTCTGCGATGATGAGCCTAGCGGGACGTCTAGTCACGTTAGACATAATAGTTGTCTGAATATGTGAAGGCTAGCCATGGGAAGAAAGGGTTAGGCACGAGGTTAGTCCTAGGACCCCTGAAAGTGTGACATTGTCATCAACAGTGGCACAGATAGCTGTGATCCTGGGGTGGGGGTTGGAATATCAGATTTTATAAAGTGAGTGGAGTGGTAAAGCTTCACCCCTCCCCGTCCACCCCCCCCCCCCCTTCAAGCATCCTCACATCCTCCCCCAGCACGTGGGCCCAATGCGCCATCTGCTGCGATCCAATGGGTGAGGCTAAGTGAGACCAAGGCCAGAACCGGGACAAATGTGTGGAAGTCAGTTTTGCTTCAATCTGGAAGTGCTCTCTAACCAGAATAAAGAAATGAGCGGTCACTGGAGGGGAGGGCAGTTGCTGTCCCTGAGGGTGAGGCTGAAGCAGAAAGGTGTGTGTCCTAAACACGGCACCCAGAGGTGGCCAGCACAGCAGACTCGGCAGCCATGGCTGAGCTGTATCAGAATATCACAAAGTTCCATCTCAACCACAAGATTCTATCAAATACTACTTGTAATTTTTTAATATTTAATATTATTTTTATTTAAATATAGTTGGTGTATAATATTAGTTTATTTCTCACTCCACACCTCTTTCAATCTTTTCTCTGACACATATACCCCTCAGCCTACTGTTTAAAAATTCTATTTAGCCAATAGGATTTCCTAAACTTGGCATGTGATGTGAGGGAATCTCGAGGCGGAGCTGAAAGGAGGCACAACTTCACGACAGTCAGATTGGTTGAGATGCTCAGCACTAAACAATCCACGAAGTCTCCCATTCTGAAAGTTTTAACCCTCAGGGGTGCTATTCTTTTTTTTCTTTTTTTAACTACAACTATTTCAGGGTTCAGCCCTTGGGCCCCTCAAAGCAGGATCGTTTCCTTTCTGTGGTCCAGGAGCCGCCTCATTTTGGTTTGAAGTTTTAAGTTCCTTCCCAGAGTACCTCTGAGTAGAGCATTTTTCTCCAGGCTTTCGTAGGCAGTACGTCTGTTATCTGTATCCTGTTCCTGTACCAAGCCCGCTTCCACCAGCAATTCCTGGGTTCTGCTTCCCCCAGCCCTGCACTGTCTCCTTTCTGTTGTATGTTGTTCTTATTCTTTTGGCCAATGTTCCTTCTGTTGCTACGGGAGCACCACTCCTCCTGCCTCAACATCACTTCAATCTAAACGCAGCACCACCACACGGGCACGTAAAAGCGTCCCGGCGCCTCCCTATGGCTCTGCAGTCTGTCCTCATCTGGGTCACTAGATTGCCCTGCATTCAAAATTCAGGGATTTCTGAGAAAGCAGCCACCACTGGACTGGGAAGTCCTGAGTCTTTTTTCTTTTACCTAAGGTTCTATATTTCTGTTTTATAATATTCACACATCTACCTCAGATTTGGGGATTACTTCCCAAGGCACAATCAGTCAGGGACAGATTGGGGTGGGGGATTTCTCTGTCTAATAGCAGAAGGAATCCGAAGCTCATCATTTTCTTGGGAGGTAAAACGACTAGCCATGCTAGTGTAGAAATCAGGACACGGTGCATGAATGAAGTTGATCTCACCGCCAGGGGATTTGATAGATGGAGAAAACTCAGAAAAGTTTGGGTCCAAATTTCCTACCTTTGCATTTAAAAAAAAAAATCAGACTCGGGATCAGATGAAATTACTCTTTCCTAAGGGACAGGGACTGTGGGCCTTTAATGAACAATCCTGGAGGCGGGACGTGGGACTTGGAATGTCCTCGAAGGGCACACACAGTTCAGATGAAGACGACCATGTTGTCCCCGGTCGGGAAGAATGTTTGTTGAAGTCTGAGGTGCTGGCAGCTCATGGAGTGCCAGGCCTCCTGCCAGCCTCCAAGTGCCCCAGCCGAGCGTTCCCTGCCGACCAGCAGAGACATCACGGATGAGGACAGACCCACGAAAAGAGCTGGCACTCCTCTGGGACATCTCATGGGATGGATTTAGGATTACGGCCTCTTGTTTCAAAACTGTTAGTGCAGCCCCAACATCTCAACATGATTCCCCACCTGATTGATTTGTTTTCCAAAAACCCAAGGGAAGTGTGAGGGCATCAGTGATTTATATCAGCTCACGATTCTACAGCAGACTTCCCAGCTAATTGTAAACCCAAAGGGTTACCTTACTGTCTCATACATCATATAGCCCTGGGCTGCAACCAATCCACTCTGACCCCTGCTTCTGCTGCATTAGGAGAATGTTGTGGAGAGGAACATGGGCCTGGTTTCATTCAAACAGGAGCACTGGCTTCTCTCACATACGTAGAAGGAAAGCTGAGATGCCAGAAGCATCCAGGCATGGTCTTGAAAGGAGGAACTAGAAACTTCTCCCTCTCAGTACTTTTAACCATTAGGGGTTGAACAGTGTCTCCCCAAATTGCATATGTTGAAATTCTCATCCCAAGTATCTCAGAAAGTGACATTGCTTGGAGATAGGGTCTTAATAGAGATAACCAAGTTAAAGTAAGATAATTAGGGTGGTCCCTAATCCAATGTGACAGTATCCTTATACGAAGAGGAAATTTGGACAGGAGACAGATACACACAGAGGGAAGACGATGTGAAAACACAGGGAGAAGATGGACATCTACAGGCCAAGGAGAGAACCCAGAAGAGATCCTTCCCTCACAACCTCCCAAGGAACCGACCCTGCTTGGACTTCTGGCCTCCAGAACTGAGATGATAAACTTATATTGACTTTTGTTATGGCGGCCCTAAGAAACTAATACGGCAGCTATTACTGACATTTAGAAAGGTTTTTTTTCTTCCTCTTTTCTTTTTTCGCAAGAGTGCATTTTATTGCCAGTCGGACCCCAATACAAGGAAACTCTGAACTCCACGCCCAGAACTTGATCCTTGGCACGTGCCAAGGACGTGCCCCTGGTGAACGTGCACGCAAAGCATGGAGTCTAAAATAAACCAGTCCACTGAGTGACACACTCACTCTTAATGAAGCTTCCCTTCAAGGACTTCAGTCACGTAGCCCCCTTGGTCAGAGGGGCCTTCCTACCAGAAGGTGGCAGTAGGCTTGCAGGAACCAAAAACACATTCGCAAGTCCAGTTCATAAACTCGAGCGTGGTAAGAGCCTACTGTTCACCTGGGAATCAAGTGTATTTTCTCTCTCTAACGTAAAGCACAGCTATTCGCTGACCTGAGGAGGGGAGCTTGAGGGAGTGACAGCTCTGCCTTACAGGTAGCACGGGATGCTCAGAGCTGCATCTCAGCCCCGGATGTGTGGGGAGCTTTTAAAACACCAATGCCCTGGTTCACATCAGGGGTTTTGTTTCTACATACTAGATGCACCCAACAGGTGGCTGTATCTGCTAACACATTCATTTACCTGGCACCTTTTTGTGAGATTCCAAAATAATTTGGAAACATCTAACGAACCTCCCAGTGGCTCGGCCAGGGAAATGAAACGTGAGTGGGGAATGGGGCCAGGCATGGCAGAGACTAGATCACAGGCCCCCGGGGAAGGCAGTACCATTGGTTGAATAGTATCCCCTGAAAATTCGTGTCTACCTGGAACCCTGGAATGTGACCTTTGGCAGTAAGGTCTTTGCAGATGTAATTATATCAACAAGTTATGACGAGGCCACACTGGGTTAGAGTGAGTTCTTAATCCAACAACTGGGTCCTCATGAGTGTCGGGGAAGAAGGCCATGAAGATGGAGGCGGAGGTTAGTGCTGCAAGTCCAAGGCCACCCAGGTTAGTGCTGCAAGTCCAAGGTGTCTCTCTGAGCCTTCAGAGGAATATGGTGCTGCCAACACCTTGACCTAGAACTTCTGGGCTGCAGAACCGTGAGACAACAGATTCCCATTGTTTAAGCTTCCAGGCTGAAGTTCTTTGTTATGGCAGCCCTGGCAAGGTAACAAGGCACAGACAAACCAAAGGCTAACGCCTCATCCCCACTCCGAGTCATCATTCTGTTCATCACACTCAGGGAGGGCTTTTATTAAGTGTTCAATGTTTTATGCATTCTCCCATCTAGCACATTTCCCAGTCCTCCCCAGATCCAGGAGAGTGAAGGGGATGAATGATGACAGCCCTATTCACTAGGTCATCGGTATGATTTAAGCTTGCTTTTTCTAAAATCAACACTGGTCCCTAATCTGGTTCCTTCTGAGTTTACTATTTGTTTCTTGCAGGCTCAGGGTCTGATAAACCCCAAGTTCATGCCTTTAGAGACTGTTCTTCCTCCAACACTCTTTTCCAAGAGTTTGAAAGGCTCAGGAGACTAGCAAACACTGACTTTCTATGACAAGAGAGGGGAGGAAAAATAGAAACAGGTTGAGAAGCAATAGGGAGAATTTGGAGGCAGCAGGCAAGGGGAGAGGGGCAGAGTTGGGGGACAGGGAACAGAAATGATGGGCTAGCCGTGAAGGGGCCTGGATGTGACAGGGCACCCAGGCAAGCTGAAGGAGGAGGAAACCAAGCTGGCCTGTGAGGCCACAACTCACTGGAAAGCAAGGACAACCCACCAGAACTGCCACAGCCTCGCAGGCTGTCATTCAATTGCTAACTGTGGGCCTCATGTAACTGAACAGCCAGTGTGCCTTCAAACTCCACCTCCAGTTCCCTAAGCGAATCCATAAACTGTGTTTTAATACTGTTTGTTGAAAGTAAAATCCTAATCTAGCCTGACGGGTTACCTCATTATTTTGAAGGTTGCATTTCTCATTTCAGTACAGGAATCACTCCTAGGTGCCATGGGGCTCAGGCCGTGGGATTTTTTTCCCCTCCCAGGACTTCTAACTATTTAAGG